AATATGTCGAATCTCATTAGCATTTGGATGTTTTATTACAAATTCCACAAAATATAAACGCATTTCAGCTGAGCAATTCTATAAACAATAACTGAGCAAAGAGATTATGTATGGCAGATCAATAAGAAAAAATTCCAGAGTTGCTAGAGAACAACCCTTAAGCCACAATAAGAAATTCATTAAACTAACAATACGAACGTTCCAGTGGCATGGCGTCAAAAATGAGCACCAAAATAATGTGAGCAAATAAATGAGAAAGACACAGCGTTCATGAAATTTATGCTTGACTGTTCTCTCTGTAACGCGATCTAATAGAGCTACGTGCTGATGAGCTCCTGTGCAAAGGACCAGCACTCTTCGATCGTTTGTGACTAGCGCCTTCCACTGATGGCTTGCGACTTGCCGTTGAACCAGCCCTTCTCCGATCTACAGCTGTGGATCCTCTTTCATAGCCATGATGGTACCTTAGAACAAAGAGTCCAAAGACTGATTATTACTGCCAATGAGAATTTCTCGAGACTAAAAACGAATCTCACTTCGCCACACTTGCGGCTCGAAGGGTATTGTACGGACTAGCAACAAAGATACTGCTTGGAGACTTACGGTGTAGCGACAATGTGGAACAACCCGGAATTCTGAAAAACTATCGTGAGAAATCACAGGATGTCATGCCATACAGCATGAAGTTACAGTCAAGAAAACTACAACAGGAATATTAAGAAGTGAAGAAATCGAATAACATTTTGCTTAGCGCTCAACACCTAGACTCTCCAGCCTTCCTGCCTCAGAACCACGTTTGTGCTTTGCGAATGAGGGAGTTTAGTATCGATCTGGCGAGTCTCTCAAAACACCAAGTCGATACATGCCGATACATGTCGATACATGATATATGCTTTCCTCGCCGCGCATCGACCAAATCGCCGACTCTCTTCAGTCGCAATGCATGAATACGGTCAACGTAGGCCTTGATAACATGGACTTTCCGCATTTAGCATCAGCTTGTATCAGACTTACAAAACCAAGGCGCTCTGGAAAGATGATACTCAAAACCTTTGATACTTGTAAAAATATCAGGGACGCAGCTGCGTTTGACGATGAGTCGAAGACCAGGCTAGTCGGAGGATGAACATGGGCTTTTTCCAGGAAAATGGACGGCTTGGTTACCCTTGAACGAACGAAAGCCGCTCGGTGTCCTTGAGAAATCCGTTCAACTGCTCTAGCTTGGAATATGATTGAACTAAGATGTTACTGGTTCTCGGTCGAAGGATTCGAAGACTAACGCGATGAAGGTGACTTGTACAATTGTGCTGATGCTGACAACAGAAACGAGTACTATTACGCAAAATTGCATAAGAAAGCAGAGTACCCTATCTATCAGAGAAACGTTGAAGCGAAACAAGTGCTGAAAGTGGGGAGAGTGAGGCCTACTGGCACATGGAGATCCTGACTGGTTTTGGGGAAAGTTTAAAGGACCACTCATCCAGATGAGGAATGTGACATTTTCAATATTGACATTGCATTGTTTCTTAATCGACGTCTGATCTTAGTTCTGGGGTTTTTGCTAGCTGCGCTCATTCTTTGCGGATGTGATGAATCCGCTACTCGCAGATAATCGCGATCGCGAAACATCGGCGGCAATTCGCTTAGATAAGAAACGATTGACTGCGTTCGCTAACGTTGTAGAAAATACAATTCACATTCACGAATGGAATTGAAGCAAAGCGTGACTGTTCCCAATACGACTACGTCCAAATAAGCCCACCACTTTCAACATGCATATAAAAACACTGAGACATCACAAAAAGCGAAGAGGAATTGCGGGTGAGTGGAAGCATTTCGTTCCTGGCAATAACACTAGCACTACTTGCTTCATGTTTTAGCAAAGGACACAAGAAATCACAAAAGCTTTCAATCGTGAAAAAATTCAGAAAGACGGACTTACACTGGTGGATATAACTTCATTTCGTCGTGCGGACGAACAATGGATGAGTGGGCGTACTTGTTCTCCAATACGGGATAAGCTGGAGGAGGAAGCGGTTGATAGGGATGCTTTTCATAGACTGGAGGGATAATCTGAACAGCGAATCACTAGTCTGGCCTCAACAGAACAGAGAAAGCTAAGGGTAAGTCGACCTCGTACTCAGACATATGATATGGCTCTATCAAGCCTCTAATAAGCCACATCAACACCCCTTAAAGACAGTTACCGCGATAAAGTGTCATGGATAGTTGCGTTCAATTATGAAACAGTAGCTGATAAGTAATCCCCAAAGAAGAAAAAAAGCAAGAAGAGTCCTCAAGAACACCATAAACAAAATCGCTCCCTGACAGTCACACCGCCCTGCGGTCTCTGTGCAACCCCTGGCTCACATCGCTTTTTCGCATCTCTCAGTTATCATCCAATGCAATGTATACGGAAAACAACAAAAACACCGACGGAAAACTCTTGACAAAAAGAAACTCTCAAAAACTCGGCGTAGGAATTCAGGTTACGGTAGCGTGCATCTTTTGGTGTGCCGAGTTTGCACCACGAAAATTGGGTCGCTCGTGATTTTACGCGTTTTACCTTGCGAGATGGGTTGGAGTTGACTGTATGTGCTCCTAATGAATAAAATGTAATAAAGGAGAGCAGAATCATTTATGGGCACGAGCGCGGTCAGCAAAAAGGACATGCAATTCCGATTAATGCCCGCCGCCCCAACAAAGAACAACTGAGCGGCCCTCCGTCAGAGGGCATCTAGCAAGTGGGCGGTCCAACTGAGCGGGCGTTAGAACTAGAACTTTCAGCGGCTGTAGCTCGCTCCTCGCTCGCTGTGGAGTCGCGAGAGTGGGACAGTCTCTAGCTTGGGGCTGGACTACCTGCCCAAGGAAGGACGACCATGTACTACTTGAGCGCGGGGGCTGTCTTTAACAA